TCATTCTAATTTATAATAAATATGATACATTTTCTCAATTCATTCAGAGGATGCAAACTTCATAAAAAAAAAAAAGAAAAATGAGTATTTATTATCAAAAGGAAATCTAATAAAAAACAAAGCAAAATATTATGGCTATTTAAATGGGATATGAATATCCAAAATAATGATTGTTCAGAGGATCTTGAACTCTAACCTAAAGTTTTTTCTCAAAAATACATTCCATCAATATTCTCAATCTTTGAACCAATCATCATCCATATTCTTGGAATCCTTTAACAAAGCTGTTTTCTTGAGTTTTTTTTTTCTTTACTTAAACTACCATTTCTTGTTTTCATTTTAAGTTTTTTTTTTTTTATCTTTTCTTCTTATCAAAATCCTAAACAATCTAATGGAAAATCTACATTAATTCAATTCATAATTCGCCAATTCGAGTATTCATATTCAATTAAAATAAACTTTTCAGAGACGTAGGTAAAAGTAAAGGGTCAAGAAAGAAATTGATAAAATAAGCCTAAAATGTATTTTAAGAGTGACCAAACAAATGATCATTTCTTTCCATGTAGAGCATTTTAATATTTTACCCTTTTAATTTCTTTTTCTTGTTCCCTCTTCTTTTTTTTTTTTTTTGCTTCTTTGCTTTTTTCTCATCTTTTTTTTGAGGTGCTTTTTATCATTTTTTTAGAAAGATGAGCATAAAAGGGTTTTGTCTCTAAAATCATTAAGGATCTTAACTTTTCAAGCTTCTTAAACTTTGCTTCTAATGTGGGATGATCCTTGGTTAAGGTTCCTTGAAAGAAAATTTTAACAAGCTTAAATAGGGAAGCAAAGGATAATTTTATTCTTTTTGTGAAAGGTAAAGAATAAATTATTTCAAAAATCATGTATTGCATCACTTTCACCTCTCAATAAATGAAATTCTTCACCAAATTTATCTTTTTTTATTCAACAGTCCCAATAAATCAATAACCTCAATTTATCAATCATATCATCATCATGAATGATATTTTAAAAAACCAAATCTTGAATTATTCTTATGACTATGTGAACATTCATTATTTGGTATCAAATAATGAACAAGGGAAAAGATATGAAAAAGAAATAGTTTATAATGACGATTCACACAAAAAAAAAGTCATGAAAATGCATCATATCTGCCACTTTTATTAAAACGATGAAAAATAAAATGAAATTCAAGTATAATAAAAAGAAGTCCATCATTTTAAAAAAATCCTAAAAAGACAACGAGTTTCAATAAGCTTTTCTAAAATTATACCCCTGGGTGATCAGGAAAAGGGCCTTTGTAAACATTCAGTTCTCATGATTCATTAAAGCTCATAGGGATTGTTCGAATCAAACTTTGTATTTTATACTTGAAAGCAGGGCAAGTTTCTATAGAGTAACCCACATTCATATTATGATAATCACTTATGACATTAACATTGTACCATTTGGGATAAGGTAGCTTTAATGATTTTAAAAGAATTGGGGATACTAAGTATTTTTGTCCAAATTTGGAAATTATTTAGTATAGGTTATAAAGATAAAATCAATGCATGCTCTCTTTTAGTTGCCTTTGGATCTCCCCAAATCACTTACTTGACTATTAAGTTTTGAAATTGATGTAGTGATAAGATTAGGCCCATATGCAGGTGCTTGAAAGGCTAGTTGATAAAAGCTTGGGTAGATGTTATTCATGATTGGGTAATGAGGCTGGTAAAAAGTTGTGCAATATTATTGATTGAAGAATAGTAAGCAAAATAAATAGGTGGTAGATATGGAGTATAACCTTTGAATTGTTGCCTTTCAAAACTCATTGCTTGGGCTTTATCTTCTTTTTTCTTAGGCATCTCACTTTTCTTAATGCTGCTAGCTTCTCTTTCCTCAAACTTATCACTCTTGATGATATTTTTAATAATTTTTTTGAGATCACCATATTAGTAAAACTTTTTATTGCATTCCCTGTCATCTTCTTATAATATGGTGCTTTCAAAGAGTTAACAAATAGTACTATCATTGCCTTCTCAGTTAGAGGAGGTTGAACTTGAAAAGCCATATCCCTTCACCGGTAGGTGTACTTTTTGGAAAACTCTATTACATTTTTCTCTGTGCTTTGTAAAAAAAAAAAGATCATGAGCCATATTTATAATATGACGATATTGATTGATGAAGGAGCGAGTCAAATGCTTCTACGATCAAGTACGAATCTTGTCCAACTAAACATATCACCTTACAACAGACCTAGTTAAACTATCTTAGAATATATGTATGAATAACCTCTCATTACTAACGTAGGCTATCATTTTATGATAGTACATCGTAACATGCTTGATTAGATATTTGGTACCATCAAATTTCTCAAAGTTAAGTACTTTAAACTTTAGAGGTACCATCACATTTGGTACTAGATAAAGCCCAGCGACATCTATAAAATCATAAAAATCAATGCCTTTCATAGCTCACAGTCTTTCATCGTGATTGTTCATCATGTAATCAATTTTAGAATCTTTCATACTTTCAACAACCTTCAATTTCAACTTCTCATTCTGTTTAAGGTCATCTAAGTTAAGGATCGAGACTAGCTCTACTACCTTTTCAATAAAGATAGGATTAGCAAAACTTTAAAATTGCCCTTAAATTTATGCATATGGCATTCTTATATAAGTAAACCTTGTAAGAAATATGAATTGTTATGATAAAATGCCTTAAGTGGACAGGATACAGAGGATCAATAATATCGTGCAACGGATGGTTATTAGGTTTAGCATCTTTTTCTATAGTTTTTCTTTTATTCAACTTGGCTAATTCTTCAAGGATTTTGTTCAACTCCCTTTTGATTTCTTATTGAGCCTTTGCTAAGTTCTCAATGCAGCTTGCATTTTCTTACTCCATTAACTCAGGTGTTATACTGGTGGTGAGTTAGTTAAGCTATCTTTGAATCTTGATTTACCATAATTAGGGTACATATTTAGAGTGATGTTTATGGAACTATCCAATTATACATGAGGTTGAATACAAAAATGCATGAATTCAATAAGGAAGAATTAATGATGTAAATGCATACATATATAATAAAAGAAAAGGGTTAACAAACATGATATATACAAAGAATAATATACACAAAAAACAACATAAAGGGTTAGCATGCAAATACAAAGAAAATATATAAATTTACATACAGAATAAATGTCCCATCATATGTCCTATTTAGGATTTTCTAACATAAGGGATGGCATGACTCTAACTTATGTTCGAACCCTTAAGATTTATTTACATACTAGGTTCAAAGATTTGACAATCTAAGGGTTCTCAAATTATTTCTTACATCATTGTCTATTATAGACTAGTAAGGCACCCTAATTTTCACTAATTATAGGCTACAAGTGGAAATGATTCAATTTGAGTGGGAGTTTTTCACTTGCTCATGCGAAAACACGAAATCTCACAAAGACATAGGTACTTTATTCCCTCTTAAGGGATAGAACTCAGTGTAGAGCTCATGTTATGCATGTGTATGTGAATGATAAATATATACAATGAATAAATAAAAAAATAAATAAAATACAAATAAGGAAAAAAATCTTAAATTTATTAGGTAAGGCTTGGATAACAAGAAATTATTTATTGGCCTGACTCTCGATTTCGTCAGTGGAGTCGTCAAATTATCGTAACGTATAAGTCCGTAGACTTATCTCTAGACATAAATTAAAGAAATCGTCACCAATCTTATTTTATTTAGGTGTGATTGGCCACTTAACTAAATCTGTTTCATTTAAAAAGGAGTCCCAAGATTAACTTAGATATCTTTAAATAACAGAGTCTAGTCTACGAAACCATATTTTAGGTTCGATAGTACGATTACGTATGAAAAATGTTATAACACCCTTACAACGTCCATCCAAAAAATGGTTCTAATTTAATTTCAAATTATCCAAGTCTTAACTATATTTATGATTTATCAAAATATTTAATATTGCAAAGTAATCATAAAATTATTACAATGTTTGATAGCAATTTAAGATAATTCTCTTACCTTAAAAGTATTCATGAAGATTAATGTCTTACTTTGAAAAGCTTCCATTATCGGATTCTTTTGATTTTCTTATAAAAACTTTTATTTATGAAAATGAGGTTTAGAACTTTGGTATAAAAAAATTTTCATTCAAAATTTTTAATATATTGGTAAAATTTAGAAAAGATCCTCTCACTTAAGATTTACTTCAATATTACTATTTACAATGCTTTTAATAGTTCTACTATCGGAGATTTAAAATTTAATTTAAAAAAAATAATTTATTTTAAAAAATATTCTCTAATATATTGATAAAATTTTCTTTCAAAAAATATCTTTTAATTTGTTGTTTTTATTTTTTATCAAATGATTTACTTATTAAGTTTTTTAATATCGATGTTGAAATATTGAAACTACCTCCCTATACACTATATATGATAGGAAACTGCATTTCAATACCAAAAAAAATAATAAAAAACCAATAAAACATACTATGTTGTTATTTTTTTATAAAGTGCATAAATGAATATAATTCTCTTTTTTTTATCTTATAAAACATCATCTCATTAAAAAGTTTGAAAAGAAATATATCACTGTAAAATATGTTTTATGAATAAAATTTTAAAAATTAATTAAAAATTACTTTAGTAAAAATCTCATGTTACAAGTGCCAATGGTTAAGGAGAAAATATTTTAATTTTGGTACAAATTTTTATATCTCATTAATTTTTTTAAATTAATAAAAATTTTAACAACAAAGAGAAATTTTAATAAAAGAAGCTCATATAGATCAATTAGTTACTGCACGCATTTAATAAGTGAAATGTCTTGAATTTAACTCATTAATTTTGATCGATACTGTTTTTTTTAATTCAATAAGTCTTTTTCTTTAAATCATTTACAATCTCAATTTTACCCCCAACAACAAAAGAACCATGTAAAACATTTGATATATATTTTTTTGTTTAATCCTTAACGTGCACTCTATTCTTCTTCTTCTTCATGCCAATCCCATATCCATTCCAAGAAAATGATTCTTGCCCACCAAACTTCCCCTCTTTTTCTCCACAAATTCCATCCCAAAACTGCTTCTAAGTTGAGGTGTATGCCCAAGAAATTCACTGTTTCTGCTTCCCGTAACACCATGGCTGCTGCCGCTGCTGCTGCTGCCTCTGGCTCTGGTGCCACTGTCCATGGGACAGTCATTTCTGCCATTTCCCAAGTGGCTGTTATTGCCTTTGCTATTGCCTCTGGAGCTTGTCTCTTCACTAAGGTTGACTTTTTATGGTCCAAAGTGGAGGAGCAACAAGGTGCCTTTCTGTTACTTTTTTTTTTTTGGGATCATTTTCTTTTGTCGGTTTTTGCCTCATTTTGTGCTCTTATAATTTAGATTGAAAAAATAATGTTTTGTTACATTCAATTTTAGGCAACCCACTTGGAGTTATTTTTGCAATTCTAGGTTAGGGGAATCCTAGATGTGTGCTTTGTTCACGACTGGCTATTAAGATCCTCCTCATAATCTCATACTATGTTATCTTTTTCGTTTTAAATGTATTTCGTGTTTTCAAGCCTGTTTGTTGGTGTATAGGTTTTTTGGATGTTCATTTTATTTTGCAGGCACTGCTTTTCAGTTTTCTATTTCTTACGTGCATAGAACTACAAAAGCTTTTAGGCTAAAATACCAAAAAAAAGCAATTGTACTTTTCCAAGTTTTCTAAATGAGCCCCTTTCCTTCTATTATTAATTTTTTTAATTGTGCTTTATTTTGATGGAAACTATTAAAATCCATTATCTTTAGTACATTAGAATTTACATGGCACAAACAGGACAAAATAAGAACTTTCTATATGTTGATGTGACATGCCATGCCATGGAAGCCTGTGCAACATGCCATGTAAGAACTAAACTCAGAACATCTTTCTTAGTGGAAGCTCTCCCTCTCACGCTTGTGTATTTACGTATTTTGAGCCTAAAAGACTCTGGTTTTGATCCCAAAATTATGGAATAATAGTTAAGCATAATGAAAAGGATATAGTTTTCATTAGAAACCTTGTGTTCCTCCCTCTTACATCAATTATTAATTCTTGATGTTACCTCATTAGCAAGAGCACGACTATAATTTATGCTCTTTATAGTTTATAATGACAACCTGCTGCTTGCTTTGTCTAATCAATAATCCATTCACTTTCTTGTAATATTATGCGCAGTCAATTGCATTCTTCTTCTTATTACCAAAAAAGGTAGCCCTCAAAAGTGCCAAGGTTGCTCAAAAACTTGCTTCACTTTCAGTTAATTCCCTAACTAAGGTCCTAAAGTTTGGTGCAAGCTATTGACACAGTTGTGGCTGGGATACTGCATGATCTGGTTGATGATATATGTGAAAGTTTGCTCAGCATAGAAGCAGAGTTTGGTGATGAGGTGGTCAGGTCAGTAGCTAGTGTTTCTAGATTAAGTTATATAAATCAGGTAAAGTCTTCATTTTAATTGGTTCTGTCTGTAGAGTCCTCATCCTTAAATCTTGGTTTTTCATTAAAAAAATATTTGTAAGCAGAAAGCATACCGGCAATTTACTTAACTGGTATTGTAGCCCTTTCAGGAGGATGGGTTTTTTCTTTCTCCTTTTCCTGCGTTAGTGATTAGTGATGTGCTTGGTCTAGGGAAAGCTAACTCCAGTTGTGTAATCCACGGTTGGTTGTTTGGGCATGTTTTAAAATGTAATAGAAAAAAATAAAGGAGAAAGAACAGAACAAGTAAAGAAAATAAGTTTCATGTTGGTGGAAATAGCATGTAATTTCTTTTTTTAAATAAAATATTCTTTTATTGAGCTGGAAAAGGTCCAGCAACTCTGCAGCTATAAGTCATCTTGCATTGAAGAATGAAGTTTTGGAAAATTATTTCATTTCTGCAATTGGAGATGGCATTCACGAGAAATTCCTATTACGTGTAATTAAACTCATTCACCATATTTAAAACTCCAGAAAACATAAACATCACTAAGGCATGTTTATTTTCCTATCGATTTTTTTATTTCAATTTCGAACTACGGTGAAATATCTAGAAACAACTTATGATTTGGGTTTTGAAAGTAATCATTATTTATTTCTTTTCCCTTATTAAAAACAAGAAAAAGACAGAAAGGGTTTTCCTTCTGATACCTATTATGGTGTGTCTGGGAAAATATTGTCTCATAAAGTGATGGCAATGATAGGGAAACCATAATGATGTTGCTGTCAGAAGTAGAAAGTTTGAATTATAAAGTCTTGCCCTTTCTTCTTATTGGTTTTCTTGCTACCTTAGTGTCATGTTTGCCATCTTTGGTGTTGTTACCCTTGTTAGCATGCTAGAATGCCTGTTTATTACAATATTTTTTTACATTTTCATGATTGTGCTCTAGTTTTGGATCCTCTGATAGTGATATTTAATCACTCCCACTATATTTATGTTGTCATGTGACTCATCTAATATATTGTTTTGTAGTTTCTACAGAAACATCGCAGGATAAATGTTAACCAGAGTACCCTTGGTTATGAAAAGGTGCATGGTTAGATAATTTACATGCAACAAAAAATGTAGTGTGGTTGATGTAATTTAGAAACTGATTCGTAAGCTAAACAATAGGTGAAACTTCATGATTTATATGGGTACACATTACATAGGCTAAGCTAAATATCAATTGTATGGTTCCTTATGATATAACTAAATAGCATATTCAATGCATGATTAATTCTTTTTAGTGCTACTGGTTGGGAGGTAAGTTGTAATGGTTTTGAGTGCATTCTCTGACATGCAGTGAATGTTTAAATCTGTATTGTTTTACACTTAAAATGGATTGGTCAAGAAGTTATTTTAATATGTAAAGGAAAGGGAAAACAGAACTGTAGAAAATGCATCTTGCTGGGATCGAAGGTTCACTGTGATATCATATAAGGGTCTTGGTAGCAATTGTGTTGATTCTTTCCTAAGGGCATGTCAAGTTCTATAGTTCAAAGCACTCTTCTTGTTCTTGTGGTCATCTTCAAGATTTATCTCAATGCATATGTGTGGTGAGAATGACATTTTCTCAAAGATCTGCATGGGTGGGACACTGTAATATAGGGGGATAGATAAATAAATTAATTAGGTTTAGTTGTAAAGTGTGTGAAAACACTGATTAGAGCTGTCTGTGTTCTAATTCACCTTCTTTTCTTATTATTTTAGGCAAACTATCTTGAGTCATGCTCTTGGGAATTTTTATATCCCGTGTGGCGCTTATCAAAGGCTGGCAGCTATCTTACATCATGAGAACATGTAAGCCTTCAAAATTTATTCTATTAGATTATTAATATATGCAGAAAACAAGATTTCTGTTTGTTTTTAATTTTCATTAATTCATTGGATAGACAAACCAAGGCTTGGCCTAGCTGTTATGATCCCTCCATAAGAGGCTCAAGGTCCAAGGTTTGGAGTCATTACTCCCCTTGGACTCCTTGTATATATCACATAACTATTCATTGAAATGGAAAAAATTGTTAATCCCTTTATTTGTATCTTTTAAATTCTAAATTTCTAAACCGTTTAGGAATCTTGCATTATCGACATACTGTATTTCTCCATCCATTGAACATATGTATAAGGACAGATTACTTCACAGTGTGTCAAGCTCTGAAAAATTTATAACAAAATCCGAGGTGCTATAATTCTTAAAATTTATGGTTCAATGGTTTGAAGGTTAATCTTTATGGTATTGATGTATGAACTGCACTCAAAGGGGTGATCATTCTTTACAGTTATGCCCTGCCCCTCGCTAAGGCTTAGGCTGTTGCACAAGAAACCTTACTTTTTTGGTGTTCCCTAGCTTCTAGATTGGGTCTGCGGGCACTGAAAGCAGAGCTGAAAGATCTTTGCTTTGCTGTTCTTCAGGTAAAGGAGTGTGTTTCAAGGTCATGGAAGTTGCAATAGCATATATCATAACATCATGAATAATATTAGTTGTACTTGATGATTTTACGCTACATATGTCATTTACTTTATTCATCATGTAGTTTGAGCTTTATTAACTCTATTTGATTGGGACACATTTTTCATTTAGGCACCTTGTATCCATTGAGTTTGGTAATGTTATTTTTAAGTGGTATTATAGTTAAGTTTAGGGTGTATTTTGTCTTCTCAACTAATTGCCAATAGGATTTAGGTTGGATGTTTAATATGATATTAGAGCTTTTCGTGGTATTATACTCATAATCCCTAAATGCTAGAGCAACTGCTCTCTTTCTCTCTGTTTGTCTTTTTTTTTTTTTTTTTTTTTTTTTTTTTAAATTGTGTAGCTAAACTAATTTATCTGAAAGTGGGACACACATTGTGCATGAGTTTTTAAATTGGGACATCAATCGTGGAATTTTCACCTGATTTGTTCAATGAGAAATATATTTCTCTTTTTGCAAATGTAGCCAAAAAAATTAATACTTAAAATCTGGTTCCTAACACTTATGGTTTAAGGTCAGTTAGAGTATGGGTTCTATGTTCATAATCGGGCTTTGCTATATGAAACTGTGGTTACAAAGTTCTTGATAGCTATGCATCAGATACCTTTTATCACCTTTTAGATTCATGTAGGAACAACAATAATTTGCATTGACTTTTAGGTCCATGCTATCTGCACACTTTGGATGAATTTGCCATTAAGCATATAAATATTGCATATAGCATGTTTAAGATGGTCAAAGATATAGAATGAGAAAAAAAGGGACAAAGTTTGATTATGTTTGAACCGTATGCCATAGTGTTATGGTAATCAATTTCATGACTTAAAATTCTTTTCTGACAGATAGAATAGCTTCTTTTTCTTTTGCTCAGCAGGTATTATAGCATCTAACTTCTAAAAATGTGAATCCTTTTGGATTATGTATATCAAATAAATTTTGTAACCACATTTGTTTCAATTTTGAGGGCAGTGGTGCAGCCTCAAATATTTAGGAAGCTACGAGCTTATCTGACCTCAATGTGGAACCCCAGAAATAAAGGAGGATATCCCAGACGAATATCTGCAAAAGCCAGGGGGTCTTCTGTACAGGAAAACAATTCAGCGCATGAAGATGAAGCTTCTATGAGTGATGAAGATATTAATATCATAAAGGTAAGTATATCGGACAAATGGTGCTGTGTCTATATTCTAGTTATATTCTTTTTGGTTGGTTTGAGGGTTGCTTTGATGTATTAGGATTTTGCCAATTTTAATGACTACTTGCTAATATCAGAAAGTTTTAATGAATAATGTTGAGAAATCCTGCCTTCCTGCCAGAAAATTAACAAGGGATGAAAAATTTCAGGAAGACAGGTCACTTCAGCCTTCCTTTAATAGACTAAATACAAGTTTTCTTCCTAGTGAACCTTGGATAGTGTTAATAAAAAAATCACCTAATATGCTGTCATTGGGCACCTTCAACACATGATCTTGGAAGATGTCTTAACTTACATTGTAATTATATAGGAGTGCATATTGACCACTGAACAACATAGCTTGCTTCAATTCTTTAGTAAAAGACATTTGGTCAATGAATGTAGTGCAAGAGTTTTATTCTGGTGTAATGAATTTCTATCCAAACTAGGCATGTCAAATACCATGTGATGGTTGCAATCTGTAGTTACTGTTATTTCTGTCAGATTTTGAAGTGGTTCATGCTCTTCCTTGACTATTTTTGAAGCCTTTTGTTTCTTCAAATAAAATTCGAGAAGCAAATTGGCTTTCATGGTTTAGCCTTCTTGAAAATAATAGGACAATAATGAAAGAAATTCCAAGTTAAAAAGGTCATAACTGAGTAGGATCCACCCCCTACTCTCATTATATTATATTATGAAATGAGATTAGTTTTGAGGAATTTTCCTTTTCAAGAGAGTACCAAACAGTCTTTATTATTTTATATTATATTATATTATGAAATGAGATTAGTTTTGAGGAATTTTCCTTTTCAAAAGAGTACCAGACAGTCTTAATTTCCTATCAGTTAGATGCACTGATTAGCTCTAAATATAATTCCAGCTTTTTTAATCCATGTAATAATAATTGTGGCAACATATGTGCACATATCTGGAAGTATGTATGCTGAAGAACAAAAGGGTTAGAGGTTTTTGGGTCAGTAGGCAGATAAACAAGTTTTAAATGTAGTATTCAACAGAAACCTTAAATTTGAGTAATTAGTTCCAGTTGTTTTATATAAGCAGGATCTTTTGGATGCAGTGGTTCATTTTGACATCTTATTGGATCGGAGAAAACATACCAATTTTCTTGATAATCTTGGAAGAAGTTCAGAGATGGAACCAAAACTTAAGGTTGTGCAGGATGCTGGAATTGTGCTGGCATCTCTTCTTTGCAAGGAGGCACTTGAGAGGGAGCCGTTCATATCAATTTCGTATGTTTTGCTCACTTATAATCAGTTGCTGCTGCTTATTTCTATTAAAACTATTTTGGTTTTATTTATTAGTTTTAACTCCTGTACTTGTAAGAGCAACTATTGTTAGTTTGGTCACATCTTGTTGGTGCTTTCTCATCCTCTCCTCTTTTGCACTGCAGTTATGTTCCAGGGATGGAGGTTACTTTATCTAGCTGATTAAACTGCTTGTACTTTGTATGGTATCTACAGCAAGGTATGAGTAACAATTAATGTATGTGTATCAACTTTTGGATGCTTAGCTTCTTAGCTGTAAAATATTATAATTGTGCGTGTTGTTAGAGCCAAATGCAGTCAAAGCCCCTTCCTTTGCCATTGTTCAAAATTCTTCTTGGTCTCCATGCATAATTAACAGTACTGTGAAGGTATACGACAGTGATTATTTTGTAACTGCAGCTTGCAGCTGTAGTAGAGTTAATTTCACTACATGTTTCAAAGAGACATCTAAGAATCAACCATGAACTTGAATTCTAATGTACGGCTGAAAATTTATCAACATGCCAGATCCATATAAGAGATTTTCTGTACTGAAAATCCTTTTGTTGCATTGTATCCTTGAAGCATTTAACTTAGACTTTTAGAAGACGCAATATCAGTCAAGCCAAAATTAAAATGTGATTCTAAAATCTTTTAGTAAAAAATAAGCAAGCAAGCTGACCTTTATTTTGTTGGGAAAGCCTTTACAATGTCCTGCTGATAATGAAGTTCTTGTTCTTATCTTGCTGTAGATGAAAAGGAAAGATGTTGGAATCAATAAAATATATGATGCATGTGCACTGAGGGTAGTTTTTGGAGACAAGAACGGAACCCTAAATGGTCCTGCAGTTTAATGTTGCTACAGTTTCTCAACATTGTATGCAGGTATTTCAAAGTGTTTCTTCTGTTCATTTCATAGATCTTCTCAATCTTTAGCATGGATTTTTGGAATTACTTTTAGTTGATGCATCGTATTTTATAGAAAAGTATGTGTAGTAGAAGAAACAAAAATAGATGTTTTTACTTTCTTTATAGGTTTATTTTTGTGGATAATTTCTTTGGCCTGTGGTAGCCTTATTTAATAGGAATGTATAAGTTCTCAATTTTACCAGAATTCATAAAGCCATACTTCTCAAACATGCTGAATTTCTTTTTTAAAAGAAACTATTATGAGTCACATCACCCATCTTTCTCTGCAGGCTTTGGACTCCAATTGACGGTGAATTTGATGATTTCATTGTTAACCCAAAGTCCAGTGGCTATCAGGTAATATTTTGCAATTATTCATTGATTTATTGCAGAAATGGTATATCTACATTAGCCCTGCAAATATAGGCCAAACATGCATATAACATGCTGCATCATATATGCCCAGCTAATATGTAATAAGTTTCTACCTTTGAATATTCCACCCTCGACAGTAGGTGGAAAATTATTTGTGAGAACTAATATCTTATTGACTAAATCTCTTAAAGTGAGTTTAAGAACATTTGAAAGTTTGTGATCTGGATGGTTTGTTAATATCAATTTTTCACCAGAATTCCAATGTAAAAGTTTAAAATAGATCATTAACTGTATTAAGCTGTATTTCCTTATGAATTTCAGTCATGTATGAGTATTTCTGTGCTATAGCGATGTTGGACCTAAGAAGAGTTCAAAAACTGTAACTACCCCTATAAGTCAATGCACGTGTTTGAGAAAATTTGGGATTCATATGACAGGAGATTAGACATCTTTATTGCCCGTCTCACCTATTAAATTCTTATAGCTTCAAAGAAGCTTGGTTATATATTGTTGTATCTCATGCTCTTCACTGTAAATTCTTATCTATGTGGTTCTTTGAATTTTTAGCATCCTCCATACTTCTTTGGCAAAGTACTGCATCAAATTTTCCGACTTAGTGAGACTTTGCTCTAAATAATGGATCTTGTATTATACATGTTATGAAATTGGCTGAATAGGTTTCTACCATGAGAGTTCAAATAAACTGCCAGGTAATGCTGGAAGAAGCTGTTCACTTATTGGAGTTTTAAATATCAAACTTTGCTGTTATTAATTAATTTCAAAAAGTTCTAATGTAATAATTAATTTAAAAAACTAATAAATGTAATTGTTATGTTAATCATAATTATATTAATCCTAATAAGAAAAGGAATATCTTTAGCTTACAATTAATAAAGCTAAGACAGATGTGAGTTGATTCCCATCTTTCAAAGGTGGAAAGGCTCCTTCTGAATCTACGGATTTGGAGCCTCGGACAAAAACTAAAGTATATATGTTAGAACTCCTTATATTACCGTGGATTTACAAGTAATTAATTGTTATAACTCAGTAAATTACCGTAGGTAATTTAACGTAAGCATCGCAAGTAGACATTAAAGTAATACTATGAATAGAAGGCTAACCTTGGTAGCTCATAAGTCAGTTGATGACAGATAAGGAAAGGGGAATTCTCTTTCAACTAGAGGAGCTAGCTAGAGACAAAAGTGTTATACTTATTTCTACAGTAATTACAAATTTAAATCCAAAAAGAATTCTAATTAGCTGTCAAAATTCCAATAATAACCTCACATACTTACATAACCTTATATATATATATATATATATATTAATAATACCTACTGCTACTGCTCTTTATTATATTGATGAGTGGAATTAATTAAGAGAGCAAAGGAGACATTGACGCTATTCTATTTTTAAGAAGAAAAGCTATTTATTATATATCTTCTTATTTATTAGGTATGATCACTATCAACCCTTTTTTTTTTTGTGCTTGATTTACAATGTTGGGAAGTGGAATTAATGTTATTCTTCTTTCATCTCAATTAATAAAAGAAGAAAACAAAACTTATATCTCGTTTTTATGTTTCTTTAGAAGTTTATGCTTGGTATAATTTTGGGTTTAGAGTTTAGGGTTTATGGTTTTTAGGGTTTAGGGCTTTTTTGTTAATTTCTCAATTTTTGCTGTCCTTGTAAAAAATAAATAAATTAATTAATTTCTCATTTTTCGTAAATGTCACAGTAAGTATGGAAAACAAAGATTTGATACCATCCAAAGAGCAACAAGTGGACAAACCTTGCCAGTTGGGTTTTATGAACATGGAAGCAATAATTGAGGTTGATAATGAACGACCGCCATATTCTCTTCCTCCCCGCATATCTCAACCTTACCCTTGGCTTGTTATATGTCATGGAGAGTTTGATCAAAGGCAAACCTTTTTCAGCATATCACAATATCGGTATTACACTAAAATCATTCCTTAATAAACAAGCATGTTGCTCTTCCTTTGGATGGTTAGTATTATTGGATCTTGTCTCATTTGATTGTTCTCTTTTAAATCTCATTTCGATGGAGACAATTCAACTTCCTCTTTTCAATAAGAAATTCGATACGTGCATTCTCACGGCACTTCCAAGTGATCCAAATTGTCGCATCCTTTTCTTCAATCTCGTAGAGGATGAATTTATATTTTGTTCTCTTGATGATTGTGAATTTTCAAAACAAAAGTTAGAAGACAGTGATGTGATCAGTGTGACAACATTTGGAGGAAAGATTTATTGTATTTCTTCAGAATATTGTTTGCTTACAATCGAGTTTGAAGGATCAAGTCTTCGATTTACAAAATTAACTGTCCAAACAGAATCCAAACTGTTTAATTTTACCATTCAACGCAAAAACTATTTGGTTGAGTTTTTTGGAGAGATGCTACTTGTTTGCAAGATTTACTCTCCAAGATTGTGTGAATGGGCTTCATACTTTGAAGTTTTTAGGTTTGATTTCTATAAATCGGAATGGATTGAAGTGAAAAGCATTGGAAATAATGTAATTTTCCTCACAGATCAATGTTACGGCTCATGTTACTCAGTAGCAAAAGAATCTGATATAAGAAGAAACTCTATTTACTATACTCAGTATGAAGATAGAAACCTTTATGTCTATGATTTGGAAGATCGAAGTGTTACAACATCTTTGCCTTGTCCCATAGTCAGTCGTCGAAAATCATCTCATTATTGGAGTATGTTACCAATGACAAATAACTCCTAAGATTTAATTTTTCTTTTTAGAAAAAAAATTATTATGTAGTTGTTTTCTTTCTTTTTTTTTTCTTTAATTTGTTATTTAGTTTAATAAAATTATGGTTGGTTGATTTTTAATTAACTTTTCTTTATCCTTGTATTCCAATAAATTAATGTATTTACTTAATTTTAATATTTTTTTTTCTGGTATTTGAGATTACAAAGGGTTGAACTATGATCATTAAAATTAAAAGTATAATATTCTATTAAAAGATTACACTATTGTAAGCACTTTCGATTTATTGATTTGTGAATAAAATGTAAAAAAAAATGGTTCAGTTTTGACCTATTTTTTTCGCAGCAGTTAATAGCATGTATAAATGTTTTATGTTGAGTTTATCTTAATGTTGATGTAAAGTTTCTTGGAATTCTTTCTTAGCATATCATTCAAGAGATTCTTGAGGGTATGTTTCTTATTGAATCATGATAAGGTTTTCTTTGATTCACTTAAAAAAAAAATAATTTGTTGGTCCTTTATTGTTGCCTTGCTGACGGGTGAATGCAATGTAATTTGGTTTGACTATTAGTTGGGTCCATTGATATCAAATTTGTTAATATATTTACGAACATCTCATTATCACATGGTTCCATGTTGCTTGGACCAACTTGAAAGTCGTTAACTGATTTAGATTTCATGGTCTGAACCTTCTCAAAACCAAGCTGGGAACCAAGGTGGGAACAAGACCTTGAAAGATTTTAAATTACTCCATGGTCATCCAGAGAAGTTCAAACATCTAATATTTCTCTTTTTGGCATGCTAGTCTTTGCATAAGCATTTAAGTTTACCTTGTTGGGATGAGACTCCTTCCTGGAATGTCTGCTTTTTTCTGGTTTTGAAGTTTCTTTTCAGCAATGGATCATCTTTTAAAGTAACATCAAACTGTGAGCAGCAAATGGGATTTGTTCTATTCAACTCAGTGTTGCATTTCTCTACAACATTCTTCTGAACCCTTTGCCAAACAGAATGACTGTTCTCTGTTCCCATTCAAATATGCAAGTTCCTTATACGTCCAAGTTTGCAAGTACTTTAACTCCCATGAATAGATTTACACTGCTTACCCCTCTTGCCTTGTGCAACCATTCGCCCATGAAAGCTGTGCTACAAGCCAGACCCTGCTTGGTTCCCTCAGTAAAATCACGGGTTTCCGAAATGCTACATAATGTGTTTTGACAATAGGACCCCTTCTAGGTATTGGAACCTAGTAAATCTGATTGACAGGTTTCATTGCTGTTGTCGTTAAATGGATTAACAATATGACCAGCACTGATACCGTCTTCACTGTTTGAACCAACAGAAACTGAGTCCAACACTAGGAAATCATGCATATCATAGAAATCCTTCTCGTGTAAATCTATAAGAAAACCCATATGTAAACCAATTTCAGAATTATCTGTATGATGCTCCCTAGGATATCTGTATGATGCTCCCTAGGAAACTTCTGAACTTGAGAAGGTACAATACATTCAGGCATATCCACTTCATCAATGTCAGATGTGTATATATTTGGTGATTGAAAACTTGTAACAACACCATAGCTGCTGTCTGCAAAATCAGTTATATTAAGCAAACCATCGGATGGTGAAATTTCTAGTGAAGTTGCAAGTGATCCAGAGTTCATGTCATTGTTATCACAAATTTCGGATGCTAAACTTCCATGGACATACTCTAGCAAACTTCTGACTCTCTGGTGCCAACATCACACAAATGAATTTTTAGGTTTTGCCTTCCTTCTTGTCTTCTTTCATGAATTTCTCTTTGTGGACTTGTCTTCTTCACCATAATCGATGAACATAGCGGATGGATTAGTAGCATTAGATCCTTTTGACATAACAGCAGAGGAATCGTTGCGAGTAATGAAGCTATAACGGGAAGAATTGTTGGACACTTCATTCAATTTAGTTATTTTATTTGCAACGGTCCTGTTGCGAAATTGATGTTGCACGTTCGATCCAGCAATGCTTCTGGCTCTAAAAGGATTGGCAGAAAAAGTAATCTCAGGTTGAGGCCCTTTCTGTGTCTTCCATCCATCAACCTTAAAAGGAATTAATGGACGGGGAGCAGACCAGATGCAGGCCTTTCACATTCGCCTGAGTTCCAGATCCGAAGTGATCAAAATATTGCCAGGTTAAAATTACTAAAGCCAATCACATAGTAAAAGAGTATGAACTCAACTATTTAATATTGGCAAAGAATAGGAAAAGTATCTAACCTCCGACGATCTTCTACAATCATTCAGCTGCAAAGAATTCTTGAACTGGTTAGCCTTTGCTACCCCTGACATTTTTTATTATTTAAATAAGTTCACCAAACACGACAAGGCATCTTTTGCTGTATCTGTCCATGTCAATAGCATAAACATGTGAATGGGCAACTTTACGAAGAGCTGATGAAGATTTACTCGATTCAAAAACCACATTTGAAATCAAAACTTTTTCACAGTAATTACAGCAAGAACAACTGTTTATAAAATCTAATAGGTAAACAAAAATGACAGCCAACAAATTTCAGTCAATGAAAATCCCTAAGAAACGCCCAGATGCAGCAATTAATCTATTCCAATCCAAAATAGATAGAAAAATATGTAAAACTCAAGAATATGGCACAAGAGAATTGCATGAACGAACTAATTTTAACAAAGAGGGCAGTTGAAAAAGACGTTTTAGAGCCATTCCATGAACTAACTACTACTATCAAATAAACAAGTAACTTCACAAAGTTTAAGCCATTATCAAATTATCAACTTCTTTTAATGGAAAAGAAAGAGAGGATAATCGGTTCAGTAGGTAATAAATTAAGGCTTACTTGAGATTATATTTCTCAAGGAAAGTTTTAAACCATTTCAATATCTATCCCAAATAGTGAAACTAATTTCCTTTCAAACCACTTCGCACTTGAAGTTCTCATAGCATAGATTCTGGGCTCCATTGAATCATTACTTGATGGTGTGTGTCCATTCAATGCCCATGGTAAACATTATCCACTTAACAAGTAAACTAATAAAATACTAGATTGGAACAGGAAAAAAATTGCAATGTTAACCTAGGGCAGTAGCTCAACTGAATCGAGACAAAATAAGTATAATTGAAAGAACAAAGGGCCACATAAATCAGACAGCATGAAACAAACATCACATTCACATTTGTAGGAAAGCTAATACAAAGAACCAATAACTTTAGTTGACTATAGCAAATCAAATAATCAGGGAAAAGAAAATCCAATATGAAACCAATTAATTTTGAACAAAGATCTCAACACAATTAAAATCAATCACATCACTTGGCTTTGTTGAAGAGAAGAGTATGGGAAATAGAACAGCCATTACCTGGAAGGTGCCTTTCTCTACAGAATCATATACCTCGTCAATCCCACTGCAGCATGAACAAGAACTGTGGGTCCAGTTTCAACCTGTATTGCATGATATTGTATTACAACTTTTGTTAATATAATCAAAACTCCGCCTCCAAACTAAAAGATCAAGGAATGAGGATCAATCTCATAATTATGACACAACTTGTATCCACAGGACTGATAAAAAGAAAAACAAACAAACAAAAACAGAGGAGACTCTTTGATTATTGTAACCAATCAAAGTTCTCTTATATTGCAGATCTGACTCTGCCAAACTCTGTTTTTGATGATTTTATTGTTTTGATTGATCTGCGCCATTGCAAACATATCCAAGCGGCCTGACGAAGATTTGGAAACTAAAAGGATAACCATAGGATCACTAAGAGGATGGATGACAATGAGTTATTGTCATATAATTTTAAATAACATCATTCATATTTTGGTTAATGTTGTATCTTGTATTCCTTAAAAATTTAGTACTACATTTATTTTACTCTTTCTTACTTCTTTATTAGCTGCTATACCTACATACTTCAAAACGTTACACAAAATTTTTATCTGACTGGTATTATAATATTTGCAAGCCAAATTAAAATATATGAGATATTAATCAAAATCCCTTCGGAAAATATATTCCAATCAAAAACATTTATTAAGAATATTAAAGAAAGAAATAATTTTGGCCTTTGGGTTACTTTTCCTTATGAAAATTTAAATCCAAAATAAATTCTAATTAGCTGTCAAAATTCCAACAATAACCTCACATACTTACATAACCCAATGCTACTGTTTTCTTTTTACATTGATGAGTGAAATTAATGAAGAGAGCAAAGAAGACATTGAAGTTATTCTGTTTTTAAGAAGAAAAGCTATTTATTATATATCTTCTTATTTATTAGGTATGATCACAATCAACCCTAATTTTTTTTTTTGTGCTTGATTTACAATTTTGGGAAGTGGAATTAATGTTTTTCTTCTTTCATCTCAATTGATAAAAGATGAAAATAAAACTTATATCTTATTTTTATGTTTCTTTAAAAGTTTGTGCTTGATATAGTTTTGGGTTTAGGGTTTTTTTTGTTAATTTCTCAATTTTTTCTTTCCTTGTAACAAAAAAAACTAAATCGAGATACTAATTATGCAAATTTAATTGAGATAGCCTTCATTACCTTGACTAAGTGAAAATTTAGCTAACTATTGATACAAGAGAGATATGAAGGGAATAGAATTCTGAGATAATGGAACAGGACTTTTTGATTTGGAGAAATTCAATAAGCAAACTTGTTTCTGTTTGCCACATTCATTACCTATTTGTTTTGTTCAAGAGAGAAAGAGAAGGAGAGTTGAAATCAACAGCTGCCACAGATAGGTGGCCTCTATTATTTCTATTTGATGTAATGAAGATCTGCTTCGGGAGGTTGTTCGCGTCTGCATATGTTAACTCACTGTTGGCATGTAACATCTTTGATGTTCCTTTTGTCAAGAAACAGTCTTCAGTGGTTTGTTTCGTTAAAGGGCAACCTCTCGATCTATCCTCTTCGCCTTTGTTCGCACTAAGTAGAAATTTAGCTAACTGGTTTCTTTCTTTATTTTAGATTCATCGCCTGGGTTTATATTATAATTTATTAACAAAGACGAAATCTAGTGATCTTCTAATGGTGCCCATCAAGACATTTATTTTTCTTTTTCTTTGCTATTGGAATTTCAAAAAAAAAAAAAGTAAAAACATGTGGTGATAACATTAATTGGTAAAACCATTAATTAGTGGAGATAACATTGATAGGTGGTGAAAGGCTTAACCTAATGTCTCGGAACGACTTGCCTTGATTGTTGATTCTTTATCTAGCACAGGAATTTTAGGTGCTTTTTTTGTACAGTGCCTGTTAAATATTTGAAAATTTGTGAAAATTTTTAATATAAAACAAATTAAATTTGGAATTTATAGTAAAAAGAACTATATTTCGTATGTCTTGCAAATTAAATATTAAATGAATTTTTAGATTTTTCTTAAGATATGTATGAATTTATATTTTAATAAAATTTTTGGTTAACTTTTTTGTAAATGCCACAGCAACTATGGAAAACAAAGATTTGATACCATCCGAAAAGCATCAAGTGGACGAAGATCAGGATGTGTGGAGCAATCTTCCACCAGAGCTTTTAAGTTTGGTATCATCAAATCTCTTTGCAGGGGATAAAGCGATTTTCTATGCAATTTGCAAAACATGGCGATCAATCCCCATTACTCCACCACGTCCACTTCCTTCTCCATTCGATCATGCATTTCCATGGTTGTTCCGAATCCTCAAAAGCAATATTGACAGAGGCCAATTTTTTCACCCCATACATAATTACACTTGCGAGTTGGACCTTTCAGCAGAAGTATTAGGTGCTGAAATCCGCTTTTCAAAGTATGGTTGGCTACTAATGACTAGAGATGAGGTGCATCCATTTCTCTTCAATCCTTTGACAAAAGAAATTATTGAACTTCCTGAGCTGCCTCCCCTAGAATGGGTGCATTCGATGTTCTTTACTTCTCCACCTTCCCCAGATTGTTTGGTTCTCGGAATCGAGGGACGATTTTATTTAGTCTCCATTTTTGTCCATAAACTAGGAGAAGATTCTTGGGAAATGCATAATTTTCCATGTCACGTAAAGTTTCGATTATCTGTTTGCAATCCAATTTTATACAGAGAATTATATTATTGTTTGGATGCCAAGGGAAACTTGGGAGTATTTGATCTGAAAAACATAGAAAATAGTTGGGATACCTACAAAATAACTTTTCCATCACGCCGTATCAAGTCAATTGTTCAAGCATATCTAGTTGAAAACGAAGAAGAATTGTTAGCCATTCTCATTACAAAGGACGATCAGAAGATTCATGTTTTAAAGTTGAACCTGACAAGTAAGACATGGGAACCAGTTCGAAGTTTGGGAAGGAACATGTTGTTCGTCAGTAAAGGTGCATCCTTCTCCAAAACGGCTGCCGTGAGAGGAACCAGTAACAAAATTTATGGTCCAAACTTTTGGGATAAAAATGGCTCGTTTTGCTTCTACTCACTCGCAACTGGAAAGTATCATTCTTTCTTTGATAATCCCTCTAGTAAAGATTCCTATAATATTAAATTCCTTCAACAAAGCTCTTGGTTTATATCTATGTAAGATTGTCTCACCTCCATATCTAATAGTTGTTTCTAATCTTTCAAAAGTATAAATAAATTATCTTGCACATTATACTAATCTTAATCTTTATAATATATTATCAAACTTAATTCAATTATTTTTTGTTCATAAAAAAATTACAACTTGAAGATAAGGAGAAATAATTACATGCCCTGAAATTTAATACAGCATGTTGATTAATTTTAATTATTGTTATGTAAATGGTAAACTAAAAGCAAGGCCACGGTAAAATGCTTCTTCATACATTGAGTTCTAAACAGTAACCATGACATGAAGAAGATGAATGAGATTTAATATTAATATGGCCTGAAAACGGATGCATAATGAAACACACTCCTTTACCTGAAGAACGGTGAAGCAAAGATCTTCCAGCTCTGCTTTCAGTGCCCACAGACCCAATCTAGAAGCTAGGGAACACCAAAAAAGTAAGGTTTCTTGTGCAACAGCCAGAGCCTTAGCTTGAGGCAGGGCATAACTGTAAAGAATGATCACACCTTTGAGTGCAATTCACACATCAATACCATAAAGATTAACCTTCAAACCATTGAACCATAAATTTTAAGAATTATAGCACCGCAGATTTTGTTATAAATTTCTCAGAGCTTGAAAGACTGGAGCAATCTGTCCTTATAAATAGGTTCAATGGATGGATAAATACAGTGTGTCTATAATGCAAGATTCCTAAAGAGTTTAAAAATTTAGAATTGAAAAGATTCAATAAAAGGACTAATCATTTTTTCCATTTCAGTGAATTAGTTATGTGATACATTCAAGGAAGTCTAAGGGGGATAGTTAATCCAAACCTTGGACCTTGATCCTCTTATGGAGGGAACAGCTAGGCCAAGCCTTGGTTGTCTATCCAATGAACTATGAAATAGAAAGACAAAACAGAATTCTGTTTTCTGCATATATGATAATCTAATAAATAAATTTTGAGAGGCATTACATGGTTCTCATATTGTGAAGACGGTCGGCCAGCTTTATAAGCACCACACATGGATCATCAACCATTCCCAAGAGCATGACTCGCAGATTATTTGCCTTAGAAGTAAAAGAAAAGAATATTCAATTAGAACACAACAGCTTCTAATCAGTGTTCACAAACTTACAGTTAAACCTAATTAATTTATTTATCTATACCCTATATTACAGTTTTCCACCCAGCTAGTTCTTTGAGAACATGTCATTCTCACCACCCATATGCATTGAGATAAATCTTGACGATGACCACAAGAAAAAGAAGTGTGCTTTGCACTATAGAACTTGACATGCCCTTAGGAAAGAATCAACACAATTGCTCCCAAGACCCTTATATGATATGACTCTGACTTCTAACTACTATCACTTCAATCCCAGCAATATGCACTTCCTACAGTTCTGTTTTCCCTTTCCTTTACTTATTAAAATTACATCTTGACCAATCCATTTTAAGTGCAAAACAATACGGATTTAAAAGTTAACTGCATGTCAGAGATTGCACTCAAAACCATTACAAATGACCTCCCAACCACAAGCACTAGAAAGAATTAATCATACATTGAATATTCTATTTAGTTATATCTTAAGGAACTATTCAATTGATATTTAGCCTATGTAATGTGTAACCATATAAATCATGAAGTTTCACCTATTGTTTAGCTTACAAATTAGTTTCTAAATTACATCATCCACACTACATTTTTTTGTTGTAGTGCAAATTCTCTAACCATGTACCTCTTCATAACCAAGGCTATTCTGGTTAACATTTATCCTGCAATGTCTCTGTGGAGGCTACAAAACAATATATTAGATGAGTCACATGACAACATACAATATAGTGGGAGGGATTAAATATCACTATCAGAGGATACAAAACTCGAGCACGATCATTGAAATTTTAAAAAAAATATTGTAATACACAGGCATTCAAACAAGCTAACAAGGGTAACAACACCAAAGATGGCAAACATGACACTAAGATAGCAGGAAAACCAATAAGAAGAAAGGGCAAGCATTTATAATTCCTACTTCTGACAGCAACATCATTGTGGTTTCCCTATCATTGCCATCACTTGTTGAGACAATATTTTTCCCACACACACCATAATAGACATCAGAAGTAAAACCCTTTCTGTTTTTTTTTTTCTTTTTTTTTTTTGTAATAAGGGAAAAGAAATAAATAAGGATTACTTTCAAAACCTAAATCATGAGTTGTTTCTAGATATTTCTCTGAAGTTCGAAATTGAAATAAAAAAATCAATAGGAAGATAAACATCACTAAGTGATGTTTATGTTTTCTGGAGTTTTGAATATGGTGAACAAGTTGAATAACACATCCTAGGAAATTCTCGTGAATACCATCTCCAATTCCAGAAATGAAATAATTTTCCAAAAATTCATTCTTCAGTGCAAGATGACTTATAACTGCAGAGTTGCTGGTCCTTTTCCAGCTCAATATAAGTATATTTTATTTAACAAAAAAAGTTATATGCTATTTCCATGAATATGAAACTTATTTTCTTTACTTGTTCTGTTCTTTCTACTTTATTTTTTCTTTTACATTTTAAGACATGCCCAAACAACCAACTGTGGATTACACAACTGGAGTTAGCTTTCCCTAGACCAAGCACATCACTAACGCAGGAAAAGGTGAAAGAAGAAAACCATCCTCCCTAAAGGGTTATGACACCAGTTAAATAAAATGCCAGTAAGCTTTCTGCTTACAAAAAATTTTTTAATGAAAAAACAAGATTAAGGATGAGGATCTACAGACAGAACCAATTAAAATGAAGACTTTGCCTGATTTATCTAACTTAAGCTAGAAACACCAGCTACCAACATACCACCTCATCACCAAACTCTGCTTCTTTGCTGAGCAAACTTTCACTTGTATCAACATCATGTCAATAGCCTGCACCAAACTTTAGGGCCTTAGTTAGGGAATTAACTGAAAGTGAAGCATGTTTTTGAGCAACCCTGGCACTTTTGAGGGCTACTTTTTTTAGTAATAAGAAGAAAGAAAGCAATTGACTCAGCATAATATTACAAGAAAGTGAAAGAATGAACCGAGTTTCCAGACCATTAACCATTACCATAAAAACATTAAAATGGCTACAGTTACAATCTAAAGAATCAAAGTGTCTATTGCTTTAACTCTAAGATGTTTTCCTACCATATCATATGGCAATTATCCTTGCAATTGCATGCTATCAGAATGGCTCACTAACTTCTATGAAAGATAGAAATAGTCATATTGTATTGGTCTACAAGTATAATCGAGACAGATTAAAAAAGTAAAACACTAGGCCAATATAGGAGTCAAACAGCATAATATGCTGAAGGAATAAAAAATTGTACCCTGCAAGCAATGGCGTACATGAGTAGCACCCACAAAAAAAAATACTAGTAAGTTGTTGAAGGATTATCAGAAGAACAAAGTATATAGACACAGCACAATGCAAGAAAATAGTTATACAGTTTCATACACGTAGGCCACTTGAGGGAACAAACATGGCTAAGATTCTTCCCGTGTAAATGCAATGTGGTAAATTCGGCTCTCCTGTTTTCCTGAACTGCCCACTGTGAGCTCCTTTTGCAAATGCAATAGCCTTTTGCACCTGCCTTCACAAATTCAGTGTTTTCGTGGCAGAAGAGGGCTACATGCAAGTTATGAGCAACTAGAGATGGCAAACCTTTGCCTCGTTAAATATAGGATAGCCAGTCATATCTATTCCTTCCACTGTAAAAGAACTTGCACACATTGATTGACGTTGTTAACTTGAAAATTGAGAGCAGAAAACACGAAGAAAATGATTCAGAAGTAGACAGTGAATGGATGATTAGACAAAGTAAGCAGTAGGTTGTCATTATAAACTATAAAGAGCATAAATTATAGTCGTGGTCTTGCTAATGAGCTAACATCAAGAATTAATAATTGATGTAATAGGGAGGAACACAAGGTTTCTAATGAAAACTATATCCTTTTCATTATGCTTAACTATTATTCCATAATTTTGGGATCAAAAGCAGAGTCTTTTAGGCTCAAAATATGTAAATACATGTACGAGAGAGGGAGCTTCCACTAAGAAAGACACTGAGTTTGGTTCTTACATGGCATGTAGCACAAGCTTCCATGGCATGGCATGCCACATCACCATATAGAAAGATCTTATTTTGTCATGTTTGTGCCATGTAAACGCTAATGCACTAAAGATAATGGATTTTAATAGTTTCGATCAAAATAAAGCACAATTAAACAAATATAATAATAGAAGGAAAGGGGCTTATTTAGGAAATTTGGAAAGGTACAATTACTTTTTTTGGAATTTTAGCCTAGAAGTTTGTGTAGTTTTATGCACAATTGTAAGAATTAGAAAACTGAAAAGCAGTGCCTGCAGAATGAAATGAACATCCAAAAAAACTATACACCAACAAACAGGCTCAAAAACACGAATTAAATTTAAAACGAAAAAGATAACGTAGTATGAGATTATGAGGAGGATCTTAATAGCCAGTCGTGAACAAAGCACACATCTAGTATTCCGCTAATCTAGCATTGCAAAAATAACTCCTAGTGGGTTGCCTAAAATTGAATGCAACAAAACACTATTATTTCTATCTAAATTACAAAAGCACAAACTTAGGCAAAAATTCCGATTCCAAAACTGGATAGAAATCCCAACAAATAAAAACCCACAAAAGAAAAATCTTCAAAAAAAACAAAAACAAGTAACAGAAAGGCACCTTGTTGCTCCTCCACTCAGAGCCATAAAAAATCAACCTTGGTGGAGAAACAAGCTCCAGAGGCAATAGCAAAGGCAATAACAACCACTTGGGTAATAGCAGAAGAGACAGTCCCACGGACAGAGGCACCAGAGGCAGAGGCAGAGGCACCAGAGGCAGAGGCAGAGGCAGCAGCAGCTATGGTGTTAAGGGAAGCAGAAACAGCGAATTTCTTGGGCATACACCTTAACTTAGAAGTTTTGGGATGGAATTTGTGG